AGCAGATGTACCTGGAGGGGGCAAAGAGGTTGATGGTTTGGTGCACAACATCCACAGAGTAGTTTTCTCCAACCAAAGCTGCATGCAGTTCGAAGAAATTTCGATTGGAGGCAGCACCATCGCTTACAGATCGCGTACACACCCACAGATTGCAACAGATCTCCAGAAATGACACTGCTTTCCAGAAAAGAGGCATTATCTGGAAAGAGGTTAGGCTTTGTGTACTAAAATATCTAACGATATACCTCTGAATTTCGAATATTTTATGCAATATACTGGATGATGTCAAATGTTCGCTGGCTTAGCATAGAAATCTCGTCTATTAAGAGAACATCAATGCTTCTCCATCTCTTGACACATTCTATATTATTCAAAATATTTCTTAATAACCTCCTTTGAGCCACAACAATGTCCAATCCATGCGAATGAGTGGATTGTTTGTGCCTTGCACTCCACTCCCCATACTGTCTACACGCAAAGCCTGTTGTACATGTACATGAAAATTTCATGTTGCATCTCTTGAGATATTTAATTATGGTACTTGCAACAAAGGTTTTCCCACAACCACCGATTCCTCCAAAATACACATTGTGACCACTCTGTACTAAATCTACAATAATTTCTTGCCCTTTACTTAGGTTTCCAACTGAGCAAAAAAAACAATTATACAAACTTTACTTGTATTTATATACACCCTGTGTATTTTACTAGAATACATGTCCTTGTCCGTATGTACTTGACTGGAAGCATTTTGAAACTAGAGCACAACAGAACAAGACCACAGAGGATTTTTTTACGCACAGGTTTCTTCAACCAACAATGATCGTGCCGTTGTTGTTCGCTACTATTTAAATTGTGTTGAACAACTTGGCTTTGTACCCAAGATACTGCGTTGTGAGTTAGGAACAGAGAATGCTAATCTGGAATTCTTGCAAGCATTCTTTGCCAAAATAGCAACGATAATCTGGCAGGTCTCTAAAGTTTTATGCATGGTAAAAACACAAGTAACCAAAGAATAAAGCGTGGTGGGGCATATTACGAAGGCATGGTGGATATGCCTACTTTAAGAACTTGAGAGACAGAGGGATCTACAATTATCTTGATCCCGTTCATGAACAGTGTATTAAATTCTGTTTCATGGATGTACTTCAAAAGGAGTTGTATCAAATTGCTACAGAATGGAATATACATCATATAACAAGTAAGATGAACAACGACAGTCCTTTGGGAAAACCGGATGTGATGTATTTCATCCCTGCATTATACAATACCTGAGACTATGGATTTTGGGTAAACCAAGAGGATGTTTCCATCTGCAAAGACATTTACTCTAGAGAGAAGCCCATCGATTATACACCATAGTTTATACAATTAATAGCTTTACTTAGACCAAATCTAAATCTTCTGCAAATGATGCTGTATATTTATATATTTGACTAGTCTTATTGATGACATCAATGAATATATAAATTAAACCAAAATGAAGAAAAAATGATGTTTAAAATATCAACCATAAACATTACATGTGTTTCTGATGTACGCTGGAGACATAGGCCAGCTAGCAACACCATGTTGTACATTGAAGATTAATACTTGATGTTATTGTTCAACCTAGAAAAATGAACAAGTCATAAGATTGGAACCATGGGGGTTAATTAGTTCCTTGTCTGTCCTTATTACTGTTTGTTCATCTATATATAACTTTTGTAAAAAGTACATTATTGTTTGTGACATTTCACTTAACAAGGGTTAAAGGAATATTTTTCACCCTCAAAACCCGTCAGACTATGCCGAGGAGGCATATGAATGCATACAAACAAGCCATAAATGCACATTTCGTATAAAAGGCTCTTGCATCAAAGTACACCAATATTCTATTGCCTTGTGGGAGAAAACGTCAACTGTCCCCGGAATCATCAGACATTGGTATTAAAGAAATATTAAGAAGATGCTTCGAATATGTGCCCATAAAAAGGCATACCCGCGTTGGAGTTAGTAACCATGTGTAAAATGTAACACCCACATTGTTGGTGAAGCTATGCAGTCAGAATTGCATTTCACAGTTTCGACATGGACATTTGCACAAAATATATCATTAAACATGATTTCTTGTTTATATTCCAACTACTTTACATTGTATGTGAAGGAAAGAAATTCTTGTTGAGTTAATCTTAGCTATATACATGACAAAGTCCATGCACCATCCATAGTAGTCACATATTTCCTCGGACACATATAGTTATGAACCTTCAGTATGTTGTGTTATATTCTTATTAACTTGGAAAAACGTCTAAATGGGCATTGAAGCATTTTGTGTTGATTACAATTCTTCATACAAGCAGCATTATGCCCTTTGATCAAAGTATTTTTAATATAATTGCAAACTATGACAAACATTAGTCATAGTTTGCATATAATTGAGTTGTCTGTATGTAAAATAAATAAAAAAGGTGGAACCTCTTTGTTTCTCAACTTTTGTTTAAATTAAGCAGATTGTATGGATTTGACGACGTTTCTAAGTGACTGTCATTTCCTTCTATCTCCCAACATTCTCTCTCTGTGTACATTTCAAGAACAGTGCACACAAGCAACCATATACCTGAATGACAACAAACATTCTTCAACAAACATTCTGGAGCCATGTAAGAAGGTGTACCTGGAATACCTGAAATGCTGCTCTGATCATTGTCTGAATAGCTTTTAGTCTACTTATTCCCAAATCTTTGCCACATAGTTGATCCTAGATACAAGAACATTAGCAGGCTTTATATCTTTGTGTATTACAGGCAGGTTTTAAAATGTGCAAATACGCAACAGCCTGTGCGCACTGCTTGGCAATGGAATCTTCCTGGCTTTCAATGGGCTACAAAATGATCACAATTTGCTCCGAGGAGCATTACCCCGAAGCCCCGTAGTAGATTGAACCCTGTATTCCACCCAGCCCTGTATTCCACCCGGCCCCGTATTCACAAAAGTAGTACTGTTTTAAAAGAGACAACTGCTATTTGAATGTTCTTGTGATCCCCCCTCCCTATTTGACCTGCAGCCACAATGACAACGTCTTCGCTACATCCCTGAGGTCACTGTTCCCAAAGCAAAAGCACAGTACAGTTGGCACTTAGTGCGAAATTAAATTTTCGAATACTGTCTGTGATTCAGTTATATGAAAGTAAATTTTTTAGTAAATTAAAATACAGTCGAGTAATATCTATTCTTAGAATGTGAAAACATACATTGCTCAGTAGCCTTGCAGAAGCTACTGTTGTGCTATTATATTTGTAAAGCAACTCGATGTATATTTAATGATTGAATTCACCTTTCATTGCATCAGTGCTGAAATAGTCAAATGATTATATAAAAATTTGTTTTTTTTTTAGAATTGGATCAAAAAGGTGGTTGCAGGTATTCAGATCCTGGAATGCTGTGAAATGGCCCTGCTGACCTTTTGGGACATTCTATTGGGTGAACATCAAATGGTGTGTGGAGTGAAATGGGATTTCGATTCAATGTGACTGAGAGAATTGGAATGGTGTGGATACTGATGATTCTAGTGAATTATGTTATGATGATGCATCGACTGTGATGTTGGTGAAGCTTGATTTATAATGTAGATAAACGGTGGTGATACTGGTGATATATAAGTTGTAAAATGGTATAAGTGATACAAAAGTCTGAACATTTAAGCTAAAATGAGACATGAGTAGTAAAACTGTGTTGTGTGTGACTTGATTGATTGTTCTTGTGATGATCGCGTAGGCATATTAACCCGGGTATGTTAATGTGTGATGTATTGCCAAGACCTGGGTGAATGCCAGTGTATTGCCACCCAGGCCAAATCCCATGTGTTTTGTGTTCAAAACTAAGGTTATGTTCTCATTGGATTTATAAGGGTTTGGAATAAGGTTTTGGGTTAAGGTTCCGGTGGGGATTGGGTTAGGTTGGGATTACTGCTCAGAATAGTGGATTGAATAGTGTTGAATAGGGATGTTGGCCTGCGAAGTTTCGAGTGGGTTGGGTGTATCGGTTTTGTGTGAATGTATTCCTGATGAAAGTGGAAACATGGGTTGAAAATATTATTGAAAGTTGTTTCAAATGTATAGCGAAGGATATATTGATGTATTGATAGCTTCACACAAAATTTGTCTTCAGTCTACTTCTCGTTTTTCGAAAGGTTAATGGTAGTTCAAAATGGATGTGATGGTGGTGAGTAATATTGTGAATGCTCTGTGGCAAGTTTGTGACAAAAAGTTTCCTGCCTATGAAATTTGTCTGTCATTTTAATATTTCTTGGCATTTGTATAAAACAGTGAATGGTGGTTGAGACTGATATTAATGTTTTGATATTTGCTCTGTTGCTGAGCCCGCAACAGACATTTTTGATCTGGTGGGTTTTTGGTCTGGGTTTTGGGTGGTATGTATGAATTAAACAACTGTACAATTTTATAATGTTCATGAATTTAATGAATTTTCTGTAACTACATATCTTTATTTGACAAATGTGTATAAAAATTTAAACTATATGAAGTGTATGGATTATAATATGTACAGGCCTAGACTATTTACATTGAATTGGTGGTGGTTGTTAATGGAGGAAAAATCTAATGTCTTACATTCATGAACATGTTGTATATGGTGGGGAACAGTGTTTGTTTCCCCATCAGTCGTTGCTTGATGGAGGAATGCATGATGCGGGTTAGAGCTGGTATTCTGGTTGTTGGCCGGTGTAGTGTTGCTGGGTGGAGGTGGTACAAGTAATGGTGGTTTGGAGGTGGCAGGTGATGGTTCCCTGTGTTGTTGGTGATAGGCCAATTTTGAGAAACCTGCTTGTTTTCAGGTTTTGCTGGAAGTGATTGGTTGGTTGTGAGTGGTTGCTGTGGTTTTGGGGTGCTTTGGTTGATGTTTGGTGTTTGACTTTGGTGTTGTTTTGCATTTGGATGGTGGTTTGTGAGTACTTGTGATATGGATGATTGTGCTAGACAACTCCTGTGGGAGATTGTCGTTTAGGTTCGTGGAAAGTGATGAGATTTGCCCATCAATTTTGGATGATTCCTCTGAATGGTGTTGGTGCAGGATGTTTGAGGTGGGACATGCAGTTCCGGATGCCATGCTGATTTTGAGGCCAGCATGTGCGGTGTAGCTTGTGATATGTGTTTGTTGAGAATGGTCAACTGTTGTTGATGGTCATTCTTGCTGTGATTGAGTTCAACAAGTTTATTGAACATGGTAGTTGTGTTATTTGTATTGGTGGACGTGATAGGTGGTTGAGGTATGATGGTGGTGATTTGGGGGTGTGGTATGATTGGTTGGGAAGTGGTTGGGATGTTGCTGGGTTGGCCCATGTCGGCTGGCAATGTTAGGGTGAAGGTGGTTTTGGCTTGGGTTTTGAGGTTGGGATTAGGATGGCATTTGGGGACTGGATTGGGGTACTTGTAGGTTGGATCTGGGTGGAGGTTTGTATCCATCGTGCTACGACTTTGGGATGTGTTGGTTGGTGTATCAACAGGTGGGGTGGATTGTGGGAGAGTGGAAGTCGAAATTGGGTTAGTCGATATGGTGGATGGTGAGTCGGATGGTATACTGTGAATAGGTTGTTCTCAAATTCTGGGTCTGATAGAACGAGGAAACGTTGTAGCACCTCTAATTCAAATTGAGTATGACTTTGCCCAATGTCCATTTTGGAATTGGATGGTGGTGATATTGATAATCGCTTTATTAGCATGACCATATTTTACAGGTATTGCTAAAGCTTAACTATAACGTAACAATGTAACATATAAAAAATATTTAAGAAGTAGACTATAAGAAGATATTATTTACAGGATGGAAAGTTTAATGACTACCAGCATTCCCGGCTTCAAGTTGTTTAAGTCTTTCCTCAAAACATGAAAAAATAAATTTCGATAATTTCAGGATGGTGTCACTAGCAGTTGACTTCATTATGTCAACTGATAAAGTTGGTTCGTTTACGTTTATCTCAGTAGTAGTGAGATCATTTTTTAGACTGTTTATAAAGTTTACTCGAATGTCACCATAAGCTTCGCAAGTGAGGAGGAGGTGAGATTCATTTTCGACTTCTCCCGAGTGACAAAGTTGACACAGTCGTTCTTCTCGGGCTATATTATGGTATCTACCAGTTTCAATCTGAAGGCTATGGTTGCTTAATCTGAATCGTGTTAAGGTTTTTCTTTTGTTTGAATCTTTTATTATAGATAAGTACTTTTCTAGTTCGTAATCGATCTTGATGGTCGAATAAAAGATTAGTTTCGAGGAATTTTCAAGTTTGTGTTTCCAAAATGTGAGGTAATTTTCTTTAAGACGTTTGGTAATAGGTTGAATAAGTTCAGTTGTCATTGATTCCAAGTCAGTGATTTCTGTGTTGAGGTTAGATGCTTTCAAAATATCCATTGCTTTTCCATAATAAGAAGTGTTCTGTTTAGTAAACAAATCTTTTGAGATTAGGAAAGCTTGTTTGGCAATGGCTGATTCTGATAAAGAGTTCAAATGAGTGATGTACTTGAAAAGTCTTTTGAAGATATTAATAATTAGAGGGAATTTTCCGAGTTCACCTCTTGCGGCGATATTGCTAGCTTTTTTACCCACACCTAGATATAGTTTGCAGAATCTAAGGTGGACTTTTTCAATAGGTAACTTGTCCCAATTGTTAAAATCATTTTTTACATATGCACCCCATACTTCAGAGTTCTAAAGAAGGATGGGGCTTGTAATTCGATCGAAAAATTTAATAGCAGATTTTGGGTTAAGTCGGTGTATATTCAGTCGTCTTCTCATACTGTATACTGCGTGGAGGGCTTTTTCACTCAACTGTTTAAGAGCTGGGGTGAAATTACCATTGTTGTTCATCTTAATGCCTAAATAACAGTATTCTTTTCCAATAGTTATATCTTTCTTTCCGAGATTAAAAATTGGTTTCGCTTTTTTAGAATTTGTTTTCTCAAATATCATAACTTGTGTTTTCTTTAAATTCACCTCCATAAGCCATTTATTGCTCCAGCTATGGAGGTCATCCAGACATTTCTGGAGACCGAACTTTGATCTAGATAGTATGATTAGATCATCAGCATATAAAAGACAGCTCAGTTTTGTTCCATTTGGAAGTATAAACGGATCATAGCTTGTATTGTCAAACAAAGTAGCTAACTCATTTATATCAATGTTGAAAAGAAGAGGACTCAGTATACATCCCTGTTGTACACCTTTGGAGTACTTGAAAAAATCGGTTCTTGCTTTGTTTAACAGTGCATTTTGAATTTGAGTAAAGACTTTTAATAAGATTATAAAATTGACCATCAATTTTGTTTTCTAGTAATTTAAAGAATAAACCTTTGTGCCAAACCGAGTCAAAAGCTTTTTTGAAATCTACAAAACATGCATAGATTTTGTCATTTTTGTTCTGTTTAATGTGTTTGTCAATTAATGTTTTCGAAGTAAAAATATGGTCAGCAGTTCTATGACCTGATTGAAACCCAATTTGCGATGGATGTATTAAGTTTTGTTCAAGACTAAATTTACTTAATTGTTCATTTAGGACAATACAGAGGAACTTGCTCAGACAGCTTGTCACGCAAATCCCTCTGTAGTTATT